TAGCGCTATTTGTAATATTGAATGTATTCAATTCAAATTGCCACCTGTACCTCTATACTGTGGTAAGTCACCGACGGAACTGTACTGAAGTTGGCTAAGATTTGCGCTCTTTATTCTTACATTCTGCGCAGTCTGCTTTACTTTCGGCCGCATTCATTATTCTGTTTCTTTCCAGTTTGCGCAGTCGCATCTGTTTCGACTCGTGCCCATTATTCCTATTTCCTTAGTCGATTTCATCTTGACTCACGCCCATTATTTTTACTTTTTCAGTCGGCTTTACACGGTCGTATGCGCTCCGACTCGCTGTCCTCCTCCTCTTACCTCTTTCATTTCCACTAATAGGTATATTTTCACTTTTATGTACACCAGTTGCTGAGCTACTCCAAGCGCTTTCTGACACTTGGGTTTCCAATGTCAACATCTGTCCTTCACGCGCCTTATCATGCCTCTCATGGGATATTCTTCCTGCGCTTTCTTTGCACTCTCTTTAGCCCAAAAACGAAAAGATCGCCCTTTTCTTTCATTTCCTCCTCCCTTTAACGCATTCCGTTCTTTTTTCAGATGGGCTATCCAAGCCCGCAACTCACGCTCTAATTTTTTCGAATTGCGCGGCTGTCCCATCACAACTCCCAGCGACCCACAGTCTTCAACTCTGAATTTTTTTCTCATCTTAGCTGCTTCATGAAGCGCTTCCCAAATCTGTATGGGCGAGCAAATTCCAAAATCTTTCGCTGCTTTTTCCCACCCTCTCGCCTCTCGGCCCTCCTCATCAGCAACCGCTTTGCCGTTTAAGACTATTCTTAAGATGTTTCTTAAGTCATGCCTCCTGTCCCACCCCTCAGAGCCGCCACCCCCAGGCCCTAGCACTCACTTCTCTGACTTGACCTTAGATCCCACGTCATCTTGCTCTGCGCGACTAAACGCGTTTCCAACTCTCTAATTCTTGCTTTGAGGTACTCCAAATTACCTCTCTCAGCTCACTCCTTTGCTTCGGTCAGTTTACCCCAAAAAACAGCCGAGCTATCGCGCATCCTCCTATCCATTCGGCCGCACTCGTCTTCAGCTAGGTTTGAAAATACATGTCACAATCGAAAAAGTACTTTTCCTCGTTTCGCTGATATGTTAATGGAAGCAAAGGCAGTAAGCCAAAATCACCTTCAGCATACTTCTTACGCAGCTCTCGGAACAAATTCGATGACCATTCTCCCAGTCATTACCTGCTTTTAGCAAACTTAATTGTGCCGTTTTTTTGTGCCTTCGTTTCTAATGAACAAAAAAGAAACAACGGACATACAAAAAAGAAGCAACGGACATTCAGTTTATTCCTACCTGTTCTCGGAACAAAAAAATTCAGAAACACGTAAGTCAATAAGTTCAAAAAGATTATCAATAATCAAAAAAAAAGCATCTCAAAACTGAAAAAAAAGCCGTTCAGTTTTGATAAGAACTTGGAAAAAACGAAATAAACTATAAAGCTATATGACTTCGACAAGCTCTCAGACGAGCGGTGCAGGAGAAACTTCTCCCTGCACGGACGTTGCACAGATACATACAACAAAAAGACAGATATCCATAAAGAAACAGGAACCTGGGTTTCTTTGCAAAATTTTTGCGAATTGCATTCGTTCATATTCAATAGAATGTTGCTCAACAACGGACCGATTACTATTCACATAGAAATTGGCCATATCCACCTTCATGATTTCAATAACATCACATATACCTCTGCAAAAAGAAAATGCAAGCGGCTCAAATAGATTACGAGAGGGACTATAAAAAAACAGGGTTGCTTCGAGAAAAATTTTAAAAGCCAAAGCTGAGATCGGTGCATCTGCTAGAATAAGGTGAGGGGCGAGCAGGAGAAGCGGGGGGGCGGGGGGAGGGGACAAAAAGGGCAAAAGGTAATAAAATATAGGTAGGTTAAACTCTTGAATTTATCCTAGTTAAAATGCTAAAAAAGTGGAAGGTACATACGCGAAAGTTTGCAACGACGAATTTACCTTAGCATATCGACTTTATCCGATTTTGTTAACAAATTATTTAAAAGTTCATCTCGTGACGGTGCACAAAGTCGACGCAGCAGCCCGATGATATTTTCAAAAAGAGGTTGCACATCCAGGCACTTGTTTTCCACTTGCTGCTTCAGTAGATCCAAGTCCAGCATGCTCTCAACTTCAGCGCGCAGACGCACATGATGTGGTAGCAGTAAGTCCAACACCATCTGCTAAATGCGAAAATTAGTAAAAATGTAAAAAAGAGATTTGAAATGTATAGATTAGGAAGGGGGAGATAGAATACTGAACGAAGAGGGAAATAAAGATGTGATGAAGCCGGAAATGTCAGTGTATCCGCTCATCCAGCGCTACCCGATCCCGCGGAAGGAGTAAATACATCTTGATATAGCGATGATACAAAGCAAATACTTCACTTCGCAGCCGAAATTATATTTATCGCAGAAGAGTTATGAACGCTACATAATTTAGTTAAATGCGTACGATCACTGCGAGATGGACTTGTTTCTAAACAAAATAAAAAAAAAAAAAAAAAAAATT